GGGCTACGACCCAGCTGGGCTAGAACCCAACCAGGCTGGAACCCAACCGGGCTACGACCCAACTGGGCTGGAACCCAACCGGGCTGGAACCCAACCGGGCTAGGACCCAACCGGGCTACGACCCAACCAGGCTGGAACCCAACCGGGCTACGACCCAACTGGGCTGGAACCCAACCGGGCTGGAACCTAACCGGGCTGGAACTCAACCGGACATTAAAGCTGCAGTACGGCACTTTCATTGTATTTGTTGAAATTATCACTGTGTTGTGACAACATAGTATGAGACAGACATATCCGTCACAATAACAAATTTAAATTGTGATAAATGATAATATTGTTGTTTTGAGACCATTTTCAAGTAATATAATGTCAACATCATAATAATGCAAGAACACATTCTCAAAGATTAATAAACTTTAAATTCTAATGGACATTTAAACACTGGAACTGGAAGACATCTTAAATATCCCAAATAAACAAAATATCAAATAACATGAATCATAAAGTCGCTATAAACAAAATTATCCTTCAAAAATGAGCATTTGCTGAGACCAAAGCACCAGACTCAACTTTCATCGACCACATTTTGGGTAGAAAGAAAAAACTACAAATAATGGAAATTATTGAACAAATATGTAAAAAACAAATGTTTTATAAAAGTTAGTTACTGCAGCTTTAACCGGATAGAGTGAGACTTGAGAATGAAGCAGCTACTGAAACCCATCAGCTTCCTACCTCATGACAGTCTTGGAGAAATCTCTGAAGTTCCCACTGGTCGTTCAGTTTTTCCAGCCATTGCTGGGCCAGTTCCCTGTTCTGGTTTCCCCTGAAACACAAACAGAAGGAAGATTCTGAACTCATAAACCTTCTGGACAAACATAAATTCATTTTGATGCTTTTGAGTTGTCTGAGAATTTGTCAACTAACTGGAGAAATTACTAGCATTTTTTATTTAATAAACACTACCTAAGACTGAATTTTGTGTTTATTCATAAAGATGCATGATATATCGACACCAACATCGATATCAGCCGTTATTAGTTGTTTTTTTAACATATCAGTATCGGTCCAATACATAAAACTACCAATATCAACAACAGATATTTATTTTGCTGTCTGTTTCTTGGTACTTTTATTCTTTCCAAAGGTGTCAAAACGGTAGAGAAATATAAATATTGGTATATCGGTTATCGGCCACAACAGCAATATTAATAGTTATCTGCCCAAATTTTCAAATTGGTGCATCGCTATTTACTTGTGTTGTCTTTGAGTAATATTTAAATTGGTTTGATGTTCTGAAACACTGAAGCATGACAAACATGCAAAAAGACATTTTTTGCAAAAATAATTGCAAAAATTTCACTCTTTTACGACAATTACACTGAAAAACACAAAATTTTACCAAGTTTTTGGTCTAGTTTCTAGTGCAAATATCTTAGTACATTAAGATATTTTTAAGATAGTTTTGTTTTGAAGGAGCTTGTTTTAGTCAATAATTTGTTAATATTGGCAAAAAATGACCAGCTCTGATGGCAGATTATTTCACTAATAACATGGTAAAATTAGTGAAATAATCTTTATTTTTTCATAAATATTGAGGAATTATTGACTAAAACGAGCTTCTATATGTTGCTGAAAAGTTACTTGTAAGTTAGTTGGTAAGATTTTGTGTTTTTGCAGTGTACTTTAGCTGTAGTTACCATTAATACACATTGAAAATTGGTGGATATGGTACTAATGCATAAAACCTCATTTAAATGCGGACAAACTGCATCAGTGCACAGATGCTTACTGGTCCAGTGAGCTGGTTTAGGTGCAGATTTTAGAGCAAACTCGCGTACATTCATGGTAATCTAATACGAAAAGCATGTGGTTCTCTTTCCAGCAAAGCAAACCCTCAGCTGTCACCCAGATTTCACGGTCAGGGTTGTGGTTTTGGACCAAACGGGTCCTTTTGTCTGTCTCTTTGTCTCCCTGAGAGTCTCTCTCTTTGTTCTCAAAACTGTTGTTGTGTTTTACCAGCTGCTTAGATTTTTGAGACTGATGCACCCAAAATGGTGCAGAGTTTTAGCTGAAAATCAAAAACAAAGGGATCTGTAGCTGTTCATAGCTGTTCTATAGCTTCTCTCAAGTATTTGTTTTACTTTGATTCTGTTAGCTAGGGATGCAAACAAATAATCAACTTCTGATTGTGGATTAATGGTTTTGTATATTAAAACTAGTTCCTCTCAATTAACTAATAACGTCCACAGAGACGTTATTTTAGTGGTGTAGTTTGGCCGCCATCCAGCAGAGGGCGCCACTGGCCATCCGTAAGCGGAGTCGCTGATTCAGGATTAAAGATGGCGGCGGGGCCATAACAAACAGGAAAGAGAAACGGTCCGGTGTTGAATTTAAAATTAGCTTTATCCGGTTCCGTTTTGAAATATAAACGCTCGACAACCTCGTTAAGTTATCACCTTAACAGCGGCGTCGACTTCTCATTCAAATATTACCGATGTGCTACGGAGGTAAGGAGATAGTAGGGCAGAAAAATTGTCACATAATAGAAAAAAACATGGCGCCAATAAGTAAGGTTGATTTGTGAGAACTTTTCTGAGTTAATGCACTTTATCGATCAGTTTGTTTCAACAACATCTGTGTTCATGAGAAATTAAGTGTTTCACAGATTTTAATTATTTTCACCTTTGATTTTTTTCCCAGCAACTTGAGGTTCCTGTTATATATAAAAATATGTCTAATGATGTGAGAACCACAATTTTTACCGCTGACCAGAGTTTTTAGTAATGAGTTACATTTCCACATGAGTAACTATTTTTTTTTTTAGAAAAATTTTACTTTTAGGAGTATTCATTTTATTATGAAGTGTCTCTGCTCTAACTTGAGTAAATCTCGAGAAGTTAAATCAGCTGTAGATGAACTTGTTGATTGATGACTTGCATCCTGTTTCGTTACCTCTTGGCGAGCGTGTCGATGCGCTCCCGGATTCGCTCGGAGTAGATGTTGTTCTGGCTGATCAGGCTTTCTCCCGCCTCGATCACAGCTTTGATCCTGTGCAGGTTCAGCTCCATGGTGGTGGTGAAGTCCTTGTGCTTCTTGATGGCGCCTTCGACCGTTTCCACCGTGGTGGGGAGCTCCACGTGGGCCAGAGCCGATTCCTGGAGGATGAACAGGACAACCGCGAAGTGACTTAAAGTCAAAGATACAACAATAAAAAAAATGAGCAAAAATTAGGCAAAATTCACACTTTGCACGTTTTTAGTGCTTTCATTTCGGGTTTCTACTGCTTCTAAAAACAACCCAACTGCTTAAAAAGAACCATGCAGTCGTTTTTTAGTATCTGGAAATTGAGCCATTTCAAAACCTCCAAATCAGCAAGCACTGCCCATTGCCTAGCAACACCAGCAGAACTTTGCCCCGTTGCCTAGCAACCTGTACATTGGCTTCTTGAAACTACCAACCGTTTTGTTGTTTAGTTAACATCCAGATCTACATGATAGAGTTAAGTGATGCTGCAGATTTTAGTATTGATCGAATGTCAAATAAATTCAGAGCCAGTATCACGAATATTGCGAATTACTTTTTAAAGTTCGATATATTATCAAACTCCTGATTGTTAAACTTTTTTGTGGTTTTTCCTTTTAATTATTTTGTTGAAGCCTACGACAGAATTTAAAGTGTATAGGTGTCTACAAAACACTTTAATAATATTAACTTGAGTAACAAATACAAAAAAACAAAAATCTGGGCATTGAAATGCAAAAGGCTAGCATTTGAAAGTGTTTTTTTATGTTGGAGTTAAGAAACAATACAACAATAACAAAAAAAAAATTTCAGGAGGAAATCTGAAACTAAAGTATCAATCTGATGCTAATCCCAACTTGGTATTGATATCGATATTTTGGATAAATCTTCCTACTTGAACCACTTGCTGCATTCCTGTTGGTTGTGCAGGAGGCTCTAATAATGCTTTTCAAACTGTACGGTCATATAATTGCTCTAGTCATAATGTTTTGAGTTTAAAACACTCACTTGGTTGTTCAGGAAGGACTCTGCTTGTTTGACGTCTCGCAGGAACAGGTGAAAGATGTGAGCTTGGACCAGAACCTCCCTCCGGCTCTCCCACATCTCCAGGAGCTTGTTCCAGCCCACGTCGAGCTTCTGCAGCCACTGCTGCAGGGCGGCCTGCGGCAGGGGGGCGTCCTCCGACTCCAGCAGCTCGTTCATGGCCTGCAGACGCTCGTAGTCTTCCTCATACCTGGATCCGGACCGGGCGGGGCGTTAGGTGAAACACGGCAGAAAGGAGACTTGTTAGAGCAGCCACCTACCGTCCGATCTCCTCTTTGAGAGCGGCGTGCTTGTTGATGAGTTTCTCCGCCTCCTCCAGATCGTTGGGCAGTTGGTCCGAGGCAGCGGCCGTTTGGGTCTGGACCAGCCAGGTAAGGAAGGAGTCCAGGTCCTGATGGGACATGACATGGGTCTCATTTCAAAGCTGCTGATGTTGGATGAAGTTATAGAGAGTTGATCAGGAATTTAAGATGCAGCGGTTGGTACACTTGTGCTAATCCGCTATTAGCAGCAGTTTCTGCTAACGTTGAAAACATTTAGTGCACTTGGTTTCCTTTAACCAATTTTTTCAGATAAATTATAATTTATTTGGCTGTTTTGTAAACTTTCAGTTGAAGAAATCAGTGATAGCAGGACGAACCAGGCTGATTACTGTTATAAGACGCTAACCGTAGTTTAGATGGTCAACTCATTTTGTCTTTTAAAATAGTAAAACCTCTTGAACACAGTGTAAAATTGTCTCTTCTCCTAAAATGAATAGCAGTGGTGAGCACCCTTGTGCTACCAGAGGACATAATTTTTCATAGCACTTTAACATTTTTGCTAATTTCTTCCCCTAATCTAATTAGTTCTCTGTTTATGTTGGTGATTTTATTTCTGTGTACCTGTATGAAGCTCTGCAGCCTGCTGGCCACCATCAGCGAGTCCTCACATCCCTGCAGCGTCCTTTTAAGCTCCTCCCACTCGACGCTGATGCCATCGAACGGCAACAGGATCTCCATTGTTCGGCTGGGATGAGCAGCGGCCAGAAACTCTGCTTCCTCCTGCATCAGCACGAAGGGAAAAGCTACGATCAGAAACGGTTTTATTTGAATTGTTAGGATTCCTCTGCGGACTTCCTGTACCTGTAGATGCAGCAGTTTGGGCTCCAGGACAGACAGCGCCCCCTCCATGGTGGAGAGGCGTCGCTGCAGAGCGAGGACGCCTCCCAGGTCGCTGCCCATGTACTGTGTGGCGTCGATGGCTTTCCTCTTGTCCTGGATCTGGGACTTGATCTCGGCGCACTCCAGCAGGTAATTCTGCAGGCGAAGCATCGAGTCGAGCTGATCCTTCTTCTGCTCCACCAGCTCAACGATGGTGTTCCACCTGCCGCCCAAAACAAACAAAAACAGATGCAGAAATTCACTTAAATGGTCAATTTTACTTGAACATTGCTCTCTGCTATGCTGCAGCTAGCATAGCCTGTCATAAATGCTAATGCTAGTTAGCATAGCCAGTCATGACAATGGTTTTTACAGTTTTAATGCAACAGTAAATTGTTTCTCTGTCATCACCAGATTTTACAGTGCATTCATGAGTTGATTGACAACGCTAAGACCCGTCTCCTGTTTCTGATTGGTTGATTTGATGCATTTCTTCAGATGGTAATAGAAGCTCAGGAGAGAGGTGGAGAAGATTTATCCTTTCACAGATTATCTTTCTCACAACAAACTGACAGTATAGTGATAGTTTTTACAAATATATATATAAAAATATTTGCTTTTTTTATAAAATTACAGCTTCAAGTCTTAAAAAATATGAGAATTTATATTCAGCTTCACTTTCAAACATTAACAAAATGACATCAAATGTAAAGAATTTGAGGACATTTTGTGTCTCACCTACACAACTGCATATGATTTACTTATTCTGTCAGTTAGACTAATATGAAAACAGAAAAAACCTTTTGGATCAGTCTGCTGTGACTTCAGGTCACTTCCTGTCTGCTTCACTGACTGTCCAAAATATTTTCTCCTCAATCTGATCCAGACCAGCAGGTTGGAGCATATGGAGCCCTTCAGCCAACAGAAACGCAACGTCTCAGACACAAAGCAGTGCAAAAACACAAAATTTTACCAAGTATTTTTATCTAGTTTTTAACGCAGATGTCTTGGAATAAGACAAAATTAACTCACAAGTAACATTACAGTAAATAGGAGTTTATTTTAAGTCAATAATTCCTGAATATTGATGAGAAAATTCTAGTTCCCCTGGGAGATTATTTCACTCATTTCAACATCAACATTCCACTGTGCTGTTACCTAGCAACCCCAGCCCAGCCCGTTACCTAGCAACCCCAGCCCAGCCCGTTACCTAGCAACCCAGTTCTAATTCCACTGGCAGATTATTTCAATTCTAACGACATTTTTGCCATGTTGTAAATCAAATAATCTGCCAGTGGATCTAGAACGTTTTCATCAATACTGAGATTTTAAAGACTTAAAACAAATTGTCTTGTTGAAAACTTGTAAGCAAATTTGGTAGTAATTGATTACATTTACTTTTTGAAAACATTTATTTTTAGAAGTGTTTTTACTACGCTGTATTTTGAGTAATTTTATTTTTGAAGTACTGCTGTTACTTGAGTAAAATTTCTGGATTTTCTTCCCACTGAATGAAAAACAAACATGTTTTAACCAAAAATTTACCAAACACAGACACACACCTGCAGTTTCTGTTAAAGTTTCATAAGATTTTTTTTTTCAAAGAAACGGATTTGGAAACATTTTGTTTTGCCTGATTTTTGTTTTTGTTACTTAAATGAATCATTGTCATTTTGGTCCTTAAATGACCAAATTTTCCACTTAACTTTACATTTTGGTTCGTCTGATTATGTAATTTTTAAATATTAAATTATTGATAGTTTGATCAGTAGACTTTCTCAAATGCTTTTTTACTCTTTCTTGAGTATTTGTGTTCTCCGCTTGTAAGTTAGTTTTATCTTATTTCAAGGGTTGCAATATTTTTTCAGACCAAAAATACTTGGTAATATTTTGTGTTTTTGACTTCAGTTGCTGAATGGAGACTAATGAGGATTTAAGTGGAAAAGCTAAACCAAATATTATATATTTTATTGATTAAAAAGTGAGGGATGTTGTATTTAAACCTATGAACGGCTGACGAGGTGATAATAAAATCAGATCTTTTGTGTTTGTTGATATTTGTGGACATGTGATGAGAGCTGAGCTCATCCTGAGGAACAGATGGTCACCCCGAGACCATCTGAGCCAAGGTCACAAGACTCTGCTGCTGCCAGACATTAAAGCAGTCAATGAACAAGTCGGCTCACACACACACACACACCCACACACACACACTGAATGGTAGTTTATATAAGCCATACAACTCAATTACTTGCATAGATTTTAACACATTTAAACCCTTTTACATACAGAAGTCCCGAGTCGCAGCCTTTGTATTCGTGTTTCTGGTACAACCCGTAAGTCTGACGCACAGGCAACATTTTCCCCAACAACAGCAAAGATGGACGACAAGCTGCTTCTCTCGGCAAACTGGGGGTTAATTTCTGCTTCTGATGGGACACTGGGAAAGACTTGTGCTAAAAGGAGTTGTACAACGCCACATTATGGCTATTTTAGATGGGGAAAAAATTACTAAATTTTAACAAAAATATTCAGAAATTGTTAGATTAATCTGGGAAATAAAAAAAGTTTCACTTTCAGTTGCTTCTTTTACTATTTGTAGCAGCGCAAATGAAAAACTGCAGGGCCAAGAATGCGATTCGGAGTTGCATCAGTACCTAGATTAACAATCCATGTTACGTTGTCTGCATTGTTTTTGTACCTGGAGTTGAGGTGATCCTGACAACCTCTGACCTCGGCTGAAGACGGATGACCTCCGTCCAGCAGCTGCTGAACGATCTGATTGACGTCCAGGATCCGACCCATCAGGCTGTTCATCTCCTGGTCCAGGCTTTCAAACCTAAACCACAGAGATGCATGGATTTGGAAACGGAAAGCATTCCGTTTTTCTCTGTTGGATCCTCGGCGTTCCCCTTCACCTGTGCGCCACCACTTCCACGTCCTCCAGCTTCTCCGGGATCTCCATCTTCTCCAGCCACTGCTCCTTCTCGTCGATCCAGAGCTCGCAGGCGTTCACCTCGCTGAACATGCGGTACACGGCGAGCGCGTCGTAGAGCCACTGCTGTCTGAGTACGGCCACCTCTGCGACCTCCGTGTACAGCTGCTCCACCTCACCTAAACGCACCTGAACCTCCTGCAGACAGGTGAGAAAACAAAGTCACGCCACATGCTTACAAAGATGAAAAATATACAATTAAAGCTGCAGTTTGTAACTTTTATAAATCATATATTTTTTTACGTTTGTTGAAACTGTCACCATGTCGTGATATAATAAGGCAAACCTCTTCTGCCTTCTCCCAGAGCTAACTGGAAACAACCAATCAGAGCCAGGGGGCGGATCTTAGTGCTGTCAATCACCCTCCATGTGGTGCTACAATGCAGCTAGCATAGCCTATTGTAAGTGCTAATTCTAGTTAGCATAGCCTCTGACGACAGTGGATAAACATTTTTCTGTAACGGTAAGTAATTTCTCCACCACTAGCACATTTAGCAGCATGTACATGAGATTGATTGAAAGCACTAAGACACTCCTGGCTCTCTTTGGTGCATTTCTAACAGCTCTGGGAGGAGATGGAGGAGATTGATCTTTTTACAGATTATCTATACATAATAAACATGGTGACGATTTTAACTATGAAAAAAAGAAATCATTTATGATGTATATTTGATCAAATTATCATGTCATGAAAAGATCTATCTACTGAAATACTCAACTCAGTCAGGAACAACCAATCAGAGCCAGGAGGAGGGGCTTAGAGCTATCAATCACTCTCATGCTCTCCGCTGCACTACAGCTGGTTTAGCACAACATAGGCCCCCACCAATGCTAAAGCTAGTTAGCATGGCTACCAACGATGGTGGGTAAGCGGTTTTCCTGTAGCGGTAAGTTGTTTCTCTGCCATTAGTACACGTAGCAGCTCATACACAAGCTTGATTGACAGTGCTAAGACCATTTTAATTCATTAAGCTCCTCATGTTGCTAATTTGCATCAAACCTGGACACTGCAAATTCATTAATATGCATGTAGAAGATGCATACTGCAGGTTTAGTCTCCATAACTCACCTCCTGGTCTCTGTATTGCAGAGACAGCACCACCATGTGTTTGCGCAGAGCAACTACATGTAGCCTGTGTTTATCGATGGCCTCCGTCACGCCCTTGTGCTTCTTCAGCAGCGACTGAGTGGAGTATTCGTCATGGCCGAAGTCCTCGCTGGAGACCAGGCGGTAGGCGTCCTGCAGCCACGCCGCCACGTCGTCCGTCTCCGTGGAGAACTGGAAGAAGTTGAGCGCCTCCTGCAGGTGGCCGAGATGCTGCGCCGCCTGGTCCTCCAGCTTCTTCCACTCGTCTTTCACCTCCATGATGCGTTCCTGGATCCCCGCCGTGCCGAAGCTCTTTTCGCTCAGAATCTGCTTCCCCCGCTTTATGGTGTTCTGGAAAAATAGATTTTAAAAGGAGGTGAAGAAAAAACACAAACACACCGAGCAACACTGGCTGAAACGGACAAAAACTACCAAAAACCAAAGGCTGGAACTTTAAATTAATTAGTTATATAGATTTTAATGTGTTGCAATCAACTGCATTTTTATTAACAGATAAAAGATCTGATCTGGATCCTTTGTATTGTTTTTATTCAGTACAGCCGTGAGTCTGATGCACATTCAAAAACAACAATGGAAGACAAAGCTGCTTCGTATGGAAGCCTTTAACTGTCAGAAGTTAGAAATAAATAACTTCAGTATGTCAGTACGACAAGAAAGTTCCTCCTTATAACGACCAATTTCTAATCTTGTGACAAAAATCTTTGTGAAATCAGAAAAACCTCCTGCTAGTAACGAGATGCGAAACTCGTTAAAATGACAAAATTTGACAAATTTAAAGTTTTTTGTTAAAATGCCAACTTTATTGGTAAAACGAGATGTAAAGCTGGAAAGTTTGTCGTTATGGAGACAAATTTTATTTCTCGTTATAACGACTAACTTATTGAATTGTGGGGGACACATTCAGGTTTTCGCGAAATGCGAAGGAGAAAGTTTTCTGTAATAACGACAAAATTTATTGTTGCAATCAGCATTTTACAGTTTTTTTTATGTAGATCTCGTTACAAGATTTTTTTTTAATCCTGTGAAAACAAGAAAGTTTTCTTGTTAAAACAATCTTGAATTATTATAATTTTGATGTAATGTTTAATTATTAAATGATTTATAATTGTGTCAGTTACTAAATACTTGAATAGATGTTTTACCAAATACTTTTTTACTCTTGAACAATTTCTAGCTACTTTTTACTTTTGAGTAAAAATATGATGATACTCTTACTTGAGTAATGTTTTTGGTATTCTGCCCTCATCTAATCTATTTATTCAATCATTTAGCAGCTAAAATAGTTTTTGAACTGAAATGTTGCTTATTTTGTTGATACAGTTTGATTAAAACGTGGTTAATTGATCAGGACTTTGGAGTCCATTTAAAGGTTGCAGGTTTAAAAACACACCTGCAGCAGCGAGCGGTGCGCCAGCAGCTCCCCGGCCAGAGTCTTGTGTTTCTGTAGCAGCCTCAGGACGCTGCTCAGGTCCTTCCCGAAGCCCTGAGACGCCAGGATGGAGCTTTTCTCCCGGATCCAGGCCTCCGACTCCTCCAGCTCCTAGCAGGGAGACCAAAACAACGCGTTAAAAACAAAAACAATCGGTCTGTTCTTGAAAAACTAATTAAAACAGATGCAGATAATGGGATTTCTGCACATTGGAATAAAAATATAAACACATGCTCTCGTCTTGCTCTATTTTCAGACATCTCATTATCTCCTGATTTGTCCTGAAAAAAGTCAGAAACATTCCCATAACGCGACCCACCTGGAAAAATGCCCACAACTGCCTCGACTCCTCCAGCTCCGCGCGGCGTTTAGCCGCTAGCTGTTTCAGTTCCTCCAGGCAGGAAGAGACGTGGTTCACACGGTTACAGATCACCTGCGGGTCGCACGGCTGGTAGCCTGGAGGCAAAAGCAATCAACTCAAAACCCGGAGAAAAACTGGTGAAAATTACACACAATGTGTCCCAGAAAGCCAGCTAAGCTAATGCTAGGCTAATGCTAAGCTAAAGCCGAGCTAGGCTGATATTAATCGGCAATAAAAATGGAGGATTTTCTTTGTAGTTCATGAATAAAAATAGTAACTTCAGAGCCCTGATTGTAAACAAATATGGCTGCTTGTGGTTTTTCCACTAAAATGGTTCCAGTTAATTAAAAACAGAAAGTTTCTCGTTAAAACGAGAAATAAAGTTACGCTTTATGTCTTCTAGACGACATTTAAAAACCCCAAAAGATTAAAGTCAGAAATGTGAGAAAGAAGCTGAAATTATAAGAAAAAGGACACAATTCTGGAAAAAATTATATTTTTAGATAAAATTTGGAATTCAGAGAAAAAAAATTCTGAGATAAAAGTTGGAATTCTGGAAAAAAGTGAATCCTGAAAAAAAAACTCATAAAAATGACTATTCTCTAAAGTCAAATAGTTACAAAAGAGCATTTGGAAAACTGAAAGAAAAAAAAGAATTCATATTTTTTTCTCAGAATTCCGACTTTGATCTGAGAATTCTCACTTTTATTTTTTTTTCTTAATTTGTTTCCAGAATTCCGATTGATATTGGAATTCTGTAAAAAAATAATTATTTTTTTACTTTGTCTCCCTAATCCTCTTTTGTATCCAATTAACTTGAGAACATTCAGGGTTTTTTTTATTTTGTACTGTAAATAAAGTAGATATTTCTGAGTTTTGGTCTTGTTCAGATCAACATTCACCTCTGAAACTTTGGCTCTTTGTCACAATAACAACTGTTTTCCCTATCATGGATCACGGAATCAGATTTTTGCCCTTCAGGCCGTCAGTGGGGCGTTTTGTACCCTCTATGGTGGTGAATTTGAGCGCCGCAGCGTTGAGCGTCTCGACTCTCTCGGCCTGAATGGAAATGTCAGCTTCCTGCAGGCTGTGCTTCTGCAGCAGGTCGTCCACTTCCAGCAGATGCTTCCCGAAGTCCTTCGACAGCAGCAGAGCCTGGGAGCATCAAACGAAACATTCACAGTTTAAATATTTTACAAGGAACATAAAAAGCATCAAACTCTGATTCTCTCACTGAAAGTGACAAATTTTAAATTTTCTGAATAAATTTCAAATAAAATCGCCACATTAATATTTCTCCTGCTTTGCTAAGTTTTTCTAAAACCCGTTTTTTCTTCAGATATAAAATCTATCAATTTTATTTGCAGCAACAAAGCAGTTCAAAGTGCTTTACATCATGAAAATAAAGAAATGCAGAACTTTCTTTTCTGAAAGCTGGCATAATAGACCTTTATGACAATTATGGAGCTAAATTGGGGCCATAAAGTTTGTTCTAAAGAAAAAAAGATTTGAAACTGGGGGAAAAAAGTGAATCTGAAAAGTAGTTTTGAACATCAGTCAATAAAATTTATAGTCACAATTTAGCTCTGTACTATTCAGTTGTGCATGAACACTGTAAAAACACAAAATATTACCAAGTATTTTTGTCTAGGTTTCAGTGGAAACATTTTAGCACGCTTGAAATACAAAACTGACTTTTCAGCAAGAAATAGTTTGTTTTCATAATATTAATGAAAATTTTCTACTTCCAGATTATTTCATTTATAACAAAACATTTTTCTGTTATAATAAATGAAATAATCTTCCAGTGAAAACAGAAATTTTTCATCAATATTCTCATCCAGCCTTCAATTGAAGTTGTTTTAAGCTTTTTGTGTAATGTGCTCCTTGTAGGTATATGGAAGAATATTGCTGCCATATAACAAAATACATGTTCGAACACTATCACATTATTATTATATTGAACAAATGTGATTATTTCATCCAGAAGGTGGCGGTAGAGAGCTTTTAATGCATGCATAATGAATGCCAGAACAAATTTCACATCTAATGTGTTCTTGTATTAGTTTTGACCTTGACAACATTCTTATTAAAATGTTATTTTCCTGAAGAGTTTTCTGAATGTTTTGTATATCTGTTTTGAATTTCAGAGAATTTAATTTATATTTGTTTCTGTCTGAATATGTTTTAATTTTTAAGACCCAAAATGTGTTTGTGAAAGACGTAAAGCATTTTAAAATTTACTTTAGCTGTTAGGGGAGGCCATATATTACAAACTAAACTTCAACTTAAAAATAAAATAAAAATGCTTTGTTTGCTACTTTTAAGTATTTTTTGCCAGGAATTGTTACGATTATTAGAAAAAACTTAATTATTCCACAATGTAAAATTATTTGCCCGCTGGAAGGATGTTCATGATTTAAAGTTAAAATCTTTCAAAAATGTTAGATTTGAGTGAAACAAATACATTTATTTTAGGGCTTTTTACATATAACAAAAGCACTAGAGATGCACCCATCTGAAAATTATCATTATCGATATCCGATGTTAATATTGCTGACATTATATTTATTTCACTACAGTTTTGACAGATTTTGAAAAAAAAAACCCCAGAAAAGATAAAAATAAATACCGGTTGTTCCTATCGGCCCAGTTTTATTTACCGATGTTTGTACCGATGTATCGTGCTTCCCTAAAAAGCACCGCTAATAATAATAATGATTCCTGCCTGTGTGTCCTCCATCCAGTCGATCATGTAGACCATGTCCTGGAAGGTTTTCTGCAGAGCCAGGTTCTTCTCCAGCCGGGTCCGCCTGCCGGCCACCAGCTCCTTCAGCAGGCTCCACTGGCCCAGGATGTTCTCTTTGCAGGCCAGGATGCGCCGGATGTCGTAGTATCCCTCCTTCTCCATCTCCGAGGAGAGCTCCATCACCACACCGATGCGCTCCTCGTACGAGGCGATGTCCGCTTCGATGGCCTCGTGCTTCTTCATCGCCGCCTCCACGGCCGGCAGATCGTAGCCGAAGTTATCCTGCAGGAGCAAAACCAAGTTTAATCATTAGGGTTGATTCATCTGTAATAAGAAAAATGCTTTGATTAATTTTTGATTCCAATCAGTTGTATTTTCACCATGTTACTCATTCATTTAGAAATGGCACTAAATATTTAGTTTGTGGCCAAATATTTGGCTTCAACTAAATATTTAGCTTACTAATTAAAGACATATTTAGTTACTGAGTTACATTTTTAGTTTGAAGCTAAATATTTAACTCAAGGCTGGTTAAAAAAATTTCTAACATTTAGAAAAAGAAATATTTTTTTAGATATTTACAAAAAATATTCTAAATTAATAAATATTTAACTCCAAACTAAATATTTAGCGTACGAGCTAAAGATCTGTCTTGTCAGCTACATTTTCATTTTGTTGCTAAATTTTTTGGCTTCAAACTGAATCCTTGCTAGCTAAAAATTTAGTTCGGAGTTAAATGTGTTTGTAAACTAAATATTTCACTTAATTACATATTTAGTTTAAAACTGAGTCATTTAGAAAAGAATTAATAACTTGATGAAAATATGACAAAATAAAACAAGCCTCATTTTTAAAACTAAATAATCCAAATTATTGCTGCTAATTTATCTTTACCAACGACTCCTCATGCAGTTAGCTAGCAGATGTTGTTTTGTGCTTTCAGGAGGGGAAGGATGCATGAAATTACAGGAAGTTCATCTTTCCCACCTGCGACACAAGTCTCTGGTTCTCGTTGAGCCACGCTTGCCTCATGGTCGTCTTGTGATCGAAGCGTTGAGCGAGCAGCTCCAGCTTCTCCTGACGAATCAGCTCCTTACGCAGAGCCACGCCCCTCTCATGCTCCGCCTTCTCCAGGCGCTCCCAGGCCTGAAAACAGCAGAAAGCAAAAAACGTTAAATAAAAAGCTATGACGGTCCGTTATTGCACCACAGATAGAAAAATGTACATTTCCACCAAAAACTCCTGGATACTTGGAAATTTCTGAGATACAAAAGTCTGAAATTTGCAAGAAAAAAAAGTCTCATTTTGAGATTCATCTGAGACATTTTATAGAAAAGACATGGAATTTTCAAAAATTTCCAAAAGTCAAAAATTTCTAGGTTCTCCAAGAATTTTTGACATTTCAAATTCTGAAATTTCCAGATTTTTTCTAGAAATATTTTGAGATTGAACTCTGGATTTCTGAGAATCTTTACAACAAATTTCTGACTTTTGAGGATAATAATTTCTAATTTTTTTCTACAATATTTCTGAATTTAATTTTAAAATAGAATTTAAGCAAATTTTTGACATTCTGAAATTTCCAAGCCTTTTCTAGAAAATTTCAGAGCTTATTCTGAAAATTTCTGAATATTTTCTACCAAATTTTGAAACTAAAAATTACCAATTTTTTCCTGAAAGTCTTTGACTTTTCAAACTCAGAGATTTCCAAGATTTCTCTTAAAAATTCTTAAAAATTAAAAAAAGTGAAATTCTGAGTTTTTAGTGGAAACGTACTCTTCCTTTTTTATTTTTTTCTGTCTACAGTGATGGCAGAAATATGACCGTATATATGTGGGGTTTTTCTAAAACAGAAACATGGCGTAATGTTAGGAAGAGGCGTAAACCTTGTTGATGTCTGAGATGAGCTTCCCGTCTTGAGGCACGTAGGGTTTCTGGTTATTGGCTCTGAGTTTGCTTTGGATGGTGAACAGAAGGACCTCAAGGTTTCCTTTCTCCTGAAACCTGAACAAAAATAAATAAATGTTGCCTCTGTTATCCTCTCATTTCACGGGATTTCGCTGTTTTTTTTTTTTTTGTTTAGCATTTTTTCACCACTTAAAGCAGAAAAACAAAGTCACACTCAGGATCTTAACCAAGGAAACAGTTAATCTGGTTTGTTTATGCACTTTTTGTGTTGAGAAATGGAGAAATGCTAACAGTTAGCCACTAGCTGCTGTGGTAGCTGCTAACTGTCGAACCAGGGGAACAGAATGTGGTTTCGTACTTGATGGGCTTCTCTATAGTGCAGTAGGTTGTGAAAGCCTGCAGCTGCTGCTGGACTCCAGTCAGTGAGTTGGCGAATTTCTGGTTGCTGATGATGGCGATGGTTTTCTCGATCCACTCCAGCAGGTCCGACGCCAGAGCGTCGTAGCGGTTGATGATCGTTTCCGTCTCGATGCAGTTGTCCAACACCTGAGAGCGAGAAATAAAAAATATGTAAAAACGTGACAAAAGACGGAGAAATTTTCTTCTCTCTTTGTTTTTTTTGTGCGTATTTTAATGTGTGGAATCAGTAAAATAGTGTAGGAATCATAATAAATGTTACATGTTATAATTTAATAAACACCTTTTTGACTCGTTTTCCCTCTGGTGTTGGGTGCATGCTAACACAAGTCTACTGCTAAAATATGCGTTTTATTAATTTTTTATACATTAGCCATATTTAACATACTGAACAGAGTAAATCAATACAAGCCTACATGCTAGTGGTAGCATTGAAGCTAACCTTAGCATTGTTGCTAATTTTCATCATCATCTGGATTCCGACTTTGGAAAGGCCCATTTAAATCTCTTCCAAAAACATTCTCGTTAGTTCCTCATGGCACTTTGTGAAATAAAAATGAAAACCATCCAATCTGAACTTTCTTGCACCTCCTCTGGTTTTGACAGCATTACATCTGTGATGTCGGTGATAAAAGGTGCATCTGTTACCTTGCCAACCCTCTTCCCCTCCACAATAAGAGCCTTCATCTTGGAGAAGTAGTGGTAGTAGGAGACCACGTACGTAATGATGGACTTTTCATCTGGATTCTCCGTGTTCACATCTGGAGGAAGGAAAGCAAACCGAAGCTCAGGCCAGTGGAGGACAAACCCACCACTTTCCTCTTTCTTCTTCTTCTACTCTTTAATTTGAATTATTTACCGTTAAACCAACTGCTAACGTTATTAGCCTTTTGCTTACAGTAACATAGAAAATGTTCCTGGTTCTCCAGACGGTCATGGAAGATGGCAGCTCGTACTGAGCTGGTTCTGGTTCTGGTTCTGCTGGCGGTTTCTTCCTGTTGAAGGGAAGTTTTTCCTCTCCACTGTCGCCACATGCACGTTTTTTTCCTCAGAATTTTAACTTTTTAAATCATTTAATTTGTCAGAATTCTGAGGAAAAAAAGTCAAAACTCTAACATTAAAATCAAAAGATTTTGTGTTTTTAATTTTTTTTTATCATATCGAGCTTTTAAATGTTATTATTCTTGTGTTTTTTATAGATTATAGAAAACTTTTTTTAAATTACTGTTTGTTCTTACTCATGATTGGGTGATATCTTTAAGTTTTTAGTTTCACTGGTGAGAAACTTAATTTAGTTTCATTTTATGTCTAGTAGATATTAAAGAATATTAAATTAATTTGAATTTTTTTTATTTTACATTTGAATTTAAACAATGAATTGATAATAATGTCGACTGATTTTGCTTTTAGGATGGTTTAAAGTTTCCGCAGGCAGCTGGATTTGGACTTTGGCTCATTTATTTCCACCATCTGCTGTGTTTTCATTCGGCTTGAAGGTTTTTCTGGTGAATAATTCAGTTAATTGTTAAAAGGTCTGACAAAAAGAACAAACTATAGTTTTGCATGTATTTGAGCTTTAAAACAACGCCGTATTTGTCGAACTGAAAGAGCAGCATTGAAACTTTCCAGAACATATCAGTGTGGCTTTACACCTCTAATATTTATCAGAGTGAGGTCAAAGTTCACGACTTTCCATGAAACTGTATTTAACGTATGTTTCTCACCCTCGGGGTCCAGGAGTTTGGTGAGACCCAGGTGGTGCTCGGCGACGTTGAAGGCTTGCTGCAGGTTGTGCGTCGCGTTGGATCGCGTCAGCTTGTGGAACTCTATCAGGTCCGGTCTGCCGGGCGGAAATACACAAACTCTCATGGAAAAAAATGTATTTTAGCTCAGTGGGAACCAACATCTGTGTCACATGTGGTGAAAAGCCTGAGCAGCTGCTACCTGTGTCTGTGTATGAGGGCGTTGAAGGCCAGGCCGTCTCTCCAGCAGGTGGTGAAGTTCTGAATGTTTACCTCTGGGTACCTGCAGCAGGAATTAAAGATTTGTCAAAACAAAAGGTTCGCCACGGAGAAGGAGGCTGGATTTTAAAAGTAAAGACGTGAAATCTTTCTTTAAAGTTAACTTATTGGGCTTCCTTGAACAGGTTAGATCGAGATGAATTAAATTCTTTGCACAAAATTATTCTTGGATAATGAGATTTTATTCTGCTCAGTTCTGCCTACTTTGAGCCGTTTCAGGGCCTCTGTCACTTTAAATCCAAACGACCTGCTCCTGACTAAAATTATACAACTGTATATCTTTGAAAAGCATCAGTAGTGTCTCCTGCACAACCAACAAGAATGCAGAGAGTCATTTCTGGATGACAAGTCAAGAAAAAAAAAACACTACAGTAAAACCAGCTCACCAAATGTGCTGGAACTCTGCTTGGGTTGCTAGGTAACAGGACTGGGTTGCTAGGTAACGGGCCCGACGTTGCTAGGTAATGGTGATTCCAGAAGGTTTTTGAAACAGCTCATTTTACAGACACCAAAAAAGTTTGGTGGGGTTTTTAAGCAGTTGGGCTGTTTTTAGAAGCAGCTGTATGGAAGAAGATTAGGGCCACTGGAAAAAATGAAATTCTGACCTTTTTAACAGAATTATGACTTTTGACTTCAGAAGATTGGAGCCAAAATTATGAGAAAAAGTCAAACTTCTGAGAAAGAAGTAAAATTTGGAGAAAAAAAGTTAAAGAATTCTGTCATTCAAGTCAAAATTCAGAAAAAAAGTTAGAATAGTGAAAGAAAAGGTAGTTCTGAGAAAAAAAAGTCTATTTTGCAGTGGCACTAATCCTCTTCCGTAGAGCTGAGACCCAGATGCCAGTTATTAAACCTGCAGGGTGAGAGTTCTGGGTAAATGTTGGATCTGGGTCCTGGTGCTGCTCACCCTGCGGTCTTCATCTGGCACCACAGCAGCAGCGCGTCCTTGGCGGAGCGGGTCTCTCTGTTGTCCGCTGTGTTTATTTTGATCACCTGGATCTGAGCAGGAACACAGAAAGGCACAAGATCAGTTTTTCTGACACGTCGTCCAACGACAGTCATAAAGTCTGAATAGTTTGTTTTCATGATCTTAATTTACCAACATCTAATGTGTTTTTTAACCAGGTAGTTTGTGAAGCTTTTCCGATTTTAGGGTTGGCGCCTAAAAGGTTTGATCGTTAAAAACAAGAAATATGTACAGAAAACTTCATAATTACAAACAGAATATAATCACTAAATCTTACAAAGTATTTTTTCTGGTTTTTAGCTCCAATTGTAATAAGACAAAAATGACTGAGAAATAACTTCAGCAAAATAAACAAACTTGTTTTATGTCAATAATTATTAACTTATCACATGGAAGATGTTGTTAAAATCTGCCAGTGGAATTAGTACTTTTTAAATAAACATTTAAGAATTATTTAATTAAAAACAAACTTCTTTCTCTTACTGAAAAGTCAGTTTTGTCTTATTTTTAGAGTACTAAGAGATTTTCACTATAAACTAAACAAAAATACTCAGTAAGGTTTTGTGCTTTTTATCTCTTATTTCAGAAGCTAAAACTCTTAGATTCATTGCAAACACATATTTCTTGAAATTTTAATAATTAGATTATGAAAAACCCAAAACTTTGCATTTCAGAAAAGTAAAGATATTACATAAGATTAATAAACACAATGTTAGTTTAAATTAAATGTTGGGCTTCTGATATGTTTAGCTCCACATACCATGTAAGTGACACAAATTGGACTTTTGGGTGAAAAAATCCAAATTGGATCCTTCAAAGCTGCAATCGTCTGCCTTTTCCTACCAGTTTTTCCTTCCACTCAACTTTCTATGAATATGCTGTAAACACAAGATTCCAACATAAATCTGGCTGGAAAAAATACAGAGAAAGATGTAACATGTAATAATGGCACCTTTAGATGGAAATATGTAAAATTATCCTTTTTATCACTTTGTAAATAAGAGAAAATCCATAATAAACCTTTTACAGCAGGTTATCACTTCTAAAGAGCATCCTGCTTCATCACTCAGAAAGTGGATAAGAAATGTGAATTTAAAGCAAAAGTAATTAAAATTGTGACTTATTATTTTCCATAGAGATTCAATGCTAATGTTTCCTTCAGCTATTTATTAGAAAGCCGCTCTGCCAGTGACAGTGACATGATATGAGGTAATTGGGGACATGACACCCTGCAACCAGCTGCTGCGGAGACACAAACCACTCTCACATTAGAGGACACGTAAACAAAGATAAACAGTCATGTAAAGTAGATAACAGGAAAAACATCATAGACACTCGTTTGATTTACATGTTGAGAGCTTTCCTGAATATTTTGGATCATAAATCCAATTTAATCTGTTCTTCTGATATCACTAAGCAGACTTTTAGAATCCAACTCACTTTCTAAAACAACTTGCTGTTTGTTAAACAAAGCAGATGTTAAACAGAGCAGATATGTGCATTAAGCCTTTATAAAAACTTTTATCTCTGAATTTATCGTTCTGTGAATATGTTAGCTTTACCTCTTCGTTCCTGTCAATCCTCTGTCTGTGTCTGCCTGTCTGTCTCGCCTTGGTTCTGCCTGTCTGTCTCACCCTGGTTCTGCCTCGCCCTGGTTCTGCCTGTCTGTCTGTCTTGCCCTGGTTCTGTCTCGCCCTGGTTCTGCCTCGCCCTGGTTCTGCCTCGCCCTGGTTCTGTCTCGCCCTGGTTCTGCCTGTCTGTCTCGCCCTGGTTCTGTCTCGCCCTGGTTCTGCCTCGCCCTGGTTCTGTCTCGCCCTGGTTCTGCCTGTCTGTCTCGCCCTGGTTCTGTCTCGCTCTGGTTCTGCCTGTCTGTCTCGCCCTGGTTCTGCCTGTCTGTCTGTCTCGCCCTGGTTCTCCCTGTCTCTCTGTCTCGCCCTCGTTCTGTCTCGCCC